GGGGGCTCAACATCTTTATGTCCATTTAAAATCACTTTTGTTTGGATTTTACCGAAAAACATTGATTAAAGGCACAACAGTGTAAATTTTCAGTTTCCAAAGACTCTCAGGCTATGGAACTACCAAACTTTGGCGGCCATTTTCTGAAACCAGGCGACCCTGATCTCCTTCAATCGCATATATTACGATTTCTATTCAACATAGATGAATATTTTTTAACCAAAAGGAAGTCAAATGTATAGGCTTTAAGATGATACCAATAACCCCATATGCACAAATATTGACGGGCACCTGATTTCACCACGTCGTGACACATATTACGGGTATAGAGTTGAAATCGTCCAAGACAGATAGCTATTACCGAGGAGGAATGTGGTTGTCTTAGACAGGAGGACGTCTTGGCGAGTGTCTTTATAATATAAAATACGCAAAGGGTGGGTGGGTGGGTGGGGTAGGGGGAAGGAGATAAGAAATGGACGTTTGTATACATGTTCTCTGGGATAGGTGGCTATTAAGCGCCGGTTACTCACAACGATAAATTGTACAAAAACTGGATGATCTATCGATCATAAGACAAATCGCTAGGTGCAACAACAAAATTGTACAAAGTTTTGACGATTGGACGATGTCCTGGATACTCGGTCGAAAAATCAAGCGCTGCTTGACATTTTCTGTGCGATCACGATCAGACTAGGGGTAGACGCGCTGTGACGTAGAATCACTTAAAAATTTGCCGCGGCGCAAGAAAAAACTTAGGGCTCAAAATTCTGAAAAAATATTATAGTAGGTAAAAGCTGATTTCATATTCGGAATCATCGTCTCAAAATAAGCACTTCATGATCGCGGTGAACCTGATTTGATGCGTTCGTATGTGTATTTTAACAATTTTATTATTTAATTTAGTTGATCGTCAATGGTGAAGTTGTGTTTCAAGGTCACCAGGAGCGTTTCACATCTGCAGTCAAGTCAATGACTAGGAATGTCCCTGATCGAAAGGAAAACTGGACGATAGATTTGAATGTCTAAACAGACTACACGGCTCGATAAAACGGACAGAGTTCTTGCATACGACGAATCTGACACAATTTATCATTACGTGTAACCAAGCCCAGGTTCAACTAGGAATAGTCTTAGCGTCGTCTGGGATTCTCAGTCTTTCGTTTTACTTGATTGAGTAAAAAGGACGTACCCTAACTAATCGTAAACGGAATTATCCACGGAATTATCAACGGAATTATCGGCATTGTTATGAGCTTTTTCTTTGTCGTCAACTCAAATGCAACACATCATCATAAACAGCATCATCTTCATCATCATCATCATCATCATCATCATCATCATCATCATCATCATCATCATCATCATCTTCATTGCTATAAACACTTTTTTAAAAATATTGTGGAGACTTGAGTATTTGAACTTTTTTATGTCACTATAGTATTATGTTCATCACATAAAATCCTCAACATCATCATCATCATCATCATCATCATCATCATCATCATCATCATCACCATTATTATAAAGTATCAGTATCTTCCTTAGCAGTACAAAACGAAGACGAAAAGACAACAACATGAAAAAGAAGGAAAGTCACCGATAACATAATCAATACAAAATTAATCCCTAGCCAGCAAACAGAACGATATGTTTACGTTTGAAGTGATAGGTCGCTTGTGAAGTGAATTTATTTAATTATTTTATGTATAACACATCAACACAACGAAAAGAACTATCATAATCATGTAAGAGAAAAGTTGAGGGCCAACAAAGATAGAAAGCTCAACAGTTAGGGACCCCGTCAGAAAATGTAAACATCCTCTGAAATTACTGTGGTTGTCTTAGTGTTAAGCCGACATATTGTTATATCCCCAGTCAGCTGTTTAATCGCACTATTCACAACATTACCAAAAAAAATTTAATAAATTAACGCAATATCTTAAACATGTAGTATCGGTTGCATATGCTCAAGATCAAGATATATTTTGTCGAAATGCAAACTCTAAAGGTTTAAAAATGTTATTTTTTAAACCGAACAAGAAAAGGTACACAATACTGACATTTGTTTAAAGAATGAAAGGTTTAAATCTATATTTCTTCTGTTTGTCTGGGTTTATTGCTTTCTGGGTTTACTGCGTTTTAGCATCTTGGTGACATTATCAAAATTTGTAAAGGATACTAAACATCGGTTTGTCCACAGGGTTGGAATAATTCTTAGTTGAAGTAGGAGTTTCGAGGCACTGGCAACCAAAGTTGGTCATATAAGTGCCAAAGATTAGAGGTGTTACTAGACAGTAACTAGATCTAGTAACATAAAAAGAGGAGAAGAGATAAGGATGATAGGTGTTTGATCGGAAAGTAGGACTACACCACGCCAGAAACCCTGCTAATCACCCGTGAGTTTGGGGGTAGGGGTGCGAACTGCGACTAAATTTATGTCGAATGTACAAATGAAACAATAGAATAGAACGCACAACTTGAGTGAGAAATAGAAGTCCTGTTAAAGTTCAACAGAAAAGTGTTTTCATCGCTTCATCGCTTTCAGAATCTCTCAGAGTTGAAAATCACCTAGAACTTGGTAGGAGAATTCAACCCAACAATGGTGTGCAAGACAAAATAACGTAGCCTATATTATTTTGAGTAAAGAGAAGCACATTGACTCGAGAACGGATTTTAGTTCCGGGAACGGGCACGATAGAGACTGCAAAATTACAGGAAAAATAAGATAGAAAAAAAGAAGATCAACCAGTGGCGTCCTCCATCCGCCTACAATGGTAGATCTATGTGTTTATGAATTATATATTATGCGCGCACGTGTGTGGGTCTGTGCGTGAGTGAATGAGTGAGTGAGTGAGTGAGTGTGTGTGTGTGTGGGGGGGGGGGTGCACTTACTATAGATCTATGCTTGATTTAGTATAGATCTCTATAGAGACTAATATAAATAATTTAAACATTCTTATATTATGCTAATCGATTCGAAACCCAGCATGTCAGAGCACATTGAGAATAAACGAGAGGACTTCATTACGATCAACTGCATCATTATTAATTGATCTAAATAACATGTTTTTCTAGATCTAGATCTAAGTTTCTTCTTTCTTTCCATATTTTATTTATTTTGGTTTGAAACAGTTATCAGAATAACATCTTTCTAAGAGATAACGAACTTGTTACGAACTCACCGGTGTGTCGTGAGGGTTGACAGTAAACACAGCTCTCTCTCTCTCTCTCTCCCGTCGCTCTCCCAAGCTCAACCCACGAAGAAGCAGATCGAAAAAGGGAACCAGGTTTCCACCACCCTAACCTACCGTGCGATCCCCCCAATACACACACAGTTTTGTTTCTCCTCCCGTTTTTTACCCCCTCCCCACTCCCTCCTCGTTCGTCTGCAGCCATGTCAGTTTCCCAGGCAGCAACCGACACCTTCCTCTTCACTTTCCCTTCTGTTTCAGTCTTAGCGTCAGGGGCGATGCTTAAGTCTGTTCTGTAGGTGCGTTCACTTTGTATGTATGTGTTATCTAATATATATTTCTAAAAGTTGGAGTTTCAGACCGCTGCCTGTCTGCCTGTCTGTCTGTCTGTCGTTCTCTATATCCTCCACCCTCTCTCTCTCTCTCTC